GTTTAGCAAAAAATATATTTTTTAAAATCTGAATTTTTCACAAAATTCCAATTTACAGACCATCACTGAAACCCTTCTATCATCCGAATGCAATGCTTCTGGAAATCCCTTCATCGTCACCGATGATGGAACCGATCGTATCATTCTGGTCCATAAAAACTTCTAATTTCAATAATTCTGCCAAAATAAAATTGTTCAAAAAATCAAGTTGTTTGAGTCACTGATTTTTTTGAAATTTCTGCTAACTCCATCCCTCCCACTCAATCAAAAAATGTGTGAATGCGCAGAACACGATAACAATAATAATGAGTGATTGGGGTTCCGGGTAGGCCTGAGAATCTGATCAACTACTTATTCAAAGGAACAGGAACACCATGGAGACATTTTCTCATCCGCATCTATGTTTTTTTCTGGAATAACAAAAACAACATTCCTGAAAAAAAAACGGAAAAAGCAGACCCAGGAATTTTCATTTTGTCAGAATACAAAATCAAAACTGACATCAATTCCAGCTTGATTAATTCTTACTCACTTTTGAACAAAACTGACGTTAGACTTCTTAAAAATAGGATCTTTGTCCTTCATGCTCCACTGATAACGTTATGATCTAATGATAAACCATAGTAACATTGAAACAGCTAAAAGCTCAAAAATGTGACTAGAAAAAAGTTTTCAGTCCAAAACTTTGTTTTAAAACTTTGTTTTATCCACCGTATTTGCACTAATAGAAGCCTACAATGGCCTTTGAGCTTAATTATCTCGGTTCCTATCAGAGATATTAAAAACTTGTAAACTGATAAAATATTGCTGATATTATGATAAACGTTTTGTCAGTTAACGGGTTTTTAATATCTTTCACAGGAAATGAGATATATAGGCTCAAAGTTGATTTTTTAGGTTCAAAGTTAAAAACTTTTAGGTCTGATCAAAACACCTTTTAGATTATTCAAAAAATCTATGTTTTCAGAACCCTCTTGTTCTTGTTATTCCAATTGTATCTGTTTAGTCAAATCTCTTTAAAATGAGCTGATTTTTTCAGGCACCCAAATTTTCCTTT